TAGCTTTAATTTTTTACTTCTATCTTCTCTCCTTCTTCCTCATAAACATTACAACCTACATCTCTTCTACTGTCTCCCTGTCCACCATTTGAAATTGTAAACTCTTTTGCAAACTTACTGTTTTATTGTAGGCAATAACTGATCATTGTAGGCAATAACTGATCATGTAATTTCTGTTCATTGTGACAATTAACATTGTAGATGTCATAGCAGGAGCTATTTGGATTAATGCTGCATATTGTTTGCATTGGTTGTTGCTATTATTTGTACCCACCCTAAATGGTGAGGTACTAGAAACTATCAGGGACATTATAAGTCCAAAAGGCAGAAACACTACTATGTCAAGTCCACATTCATAGATGGGTAGACATACAAACAACATGAAAAAGCAAAAGAACAAATCATCCCTAACAAATCAAGATGCTCTAATAACAGAATCCACTGACACCACACTGAAAGAAATGTCAAAGAAAGGTGTTTAGAATGGACATAGTTAAACTGATCTGCTAAGTAACAGATGGTATAAGGAATGAAATTGGTATATATTATTCCAAGACCTCAAATCTAAGAGGTCATCTTGTAATAATATACACCCAATCTCTGAATGAAAATGAAAGCCAGCCAAGAATATTACACCAAGCAAAATTAAACTACAGAACTGATGAAGCAATAAAAACCTTCTGTGATAAACAAAAGTTAAAAGAATTCACAACTAGAAAGCCTGCATTACAAAACATACCTAATAAAATATTACATGAAGAAATGAAACATAAAAGTGAAAACTACCAAAGGGAGGAAGTACACTAGAAGAATAGTCAATCAAAAAAGAAACTAATTCAAACTAAAAACCAAAAATAACTCAAAATGACATAGAATAAAAATATTTTCTCAATAAAAATATTGAATATAAATAGTCCAAACACATCAATCAAAAGACATAGGCTAGCAGATTGGATTAAAAACTGAGGTGCAACAATATGCTGTCTCCAAAAGACTCATCTCCATAGATAATGACATCCAGACTGAAGCTAAAATGATGGGAAAAACATATCATTCACATGGATTTTGTAAACAAACAGGGTTTATTATCCTCATATCAGATAAAGTGGACTTCAAGCCAAAGTTAAACAGAAGAGACAAAGAAAGACATTTATACTGCTTCAGGGAATTATACATCAACCAGACATAACAATTGTAAATATTTATGCCCCAAACAATGGAGATTCTACATACATCAAACAAACCTTTCTCAATTTCAAGAATCAAATAGACAACAACACAATAAAACTGGATGACTTTAACAAAACTCCCTCACCACTGGATAGATTCTCTAAAGAAAAACTAAAAAAAAAGAAGAAGCTATAGAACCCCAAAATACAATTAATAATTTAGACACAACATAACAGATACATATAGAAAATTTCATCCATCAGTGACTGAAAACCATCTAAGTAACAAATTGATCTCCATAAAATAGACCATATCTTAGGCCACAAAGAAACTCTTAGCAAGTACACCAAAAGAGAGAGAGAGAGAGAGAGAGAGAGAGAGAGAGAGAGAATACCTTCATTATTATCAGATCTTATGAATTGAAATCTGAAACCACCAATAAAATAAACAATAGAACCTACTCCAATACCTGGAGACAAAATGATACCATATTCAATGACCAATGAATAGCAGAAGAAATCAGGGATGAAATTTTACTTAAATATAAATGAAAATAGTGATACAGTATATCAAAATCTCTGGGACACTATGAAGGCAGGTCTAAGAGGAAAGTTCATTGTATTGAGCTCATTCACTAAACGAATAGAAAGTCACCAAATAAATAACCTAACATTATATCTCAAAGTCCTAGAAAAAGTAGAACTAATCAACACCCA